TTTCATGCATTCGTGTGGACGGTCACATTTATTTTACGTCTCCGTCTTTACGACAAACGTTTTGGAAAATATCAGCGTTTCGTGTTCGTTTTGACTTCGTGTGGACGGGGCCTAAATCTAACAAAACACCTTTGGGAGGAGGCGGGATGAAAAATAAACATGTATGAAAAGATCTATGTGATACTCTCATGCTAATGAAGACTAATATCAACACTTTGACACCAAGGCTGTCCAACCTGGTGTATTAAGGTTTGCTTAACAAAATGGCCTCTGAGTGAAGAATAAATTCTGGATGAGACTTTACATTTAGTTTGAAACCTGCTTTCAGTAAACTGTCACTTTAGTTGTGTGCCGGTGTCAGCACTATGCTAGACCTCCTTTGGTTCAGCAACCTCTGCTCCATTTTAGAAGCTTCCATCCAAGATGATGTAACCAATTCATCAGCTACGTTTACATCCTCAAAATTTCCCCAATCCGGTCTAAACCTTTGTTGATAAAAAATTAAACATCTCTGTTTACATGAACACTGTATGAAATTATTGGATCATGACTTTTGTATACATGTACCAACCGTTCAATCAGTGTGAATCATTTGAGCATGTGCCAAACTGTCTCATTTTTTTTGGTAGTAGAAGAAGAAGCTGCCTGTTTTGTAAACAAACCCATCCCTGTCCGCTCATCCTCGACTTTATCTACCCTTTGGGCCTGCCCTCAAATTTCTTTGTCCATTGTTGTAGCTTTTTCCCATTATGAAACTTTGTCCCATCTTTTTATCCATTTTTTGGGGTCATTTTAGTTAAGGGCTCAGCGGTTTTGATATGATGAGGTCTCAGTCTTCCTATTTGTGTCCATGCAAATGTAACTACTCTGTGATTATTTTTATTTATTTATTTTTTTACACAACAAGAAAGGATAACAAAAGAGGGGGTTTGTGTTTGTTATGGAAGTAAATCTGTGTCGCTGGGATTTGAATTAAAAATGGCACTAAGATAATGTAACGGGATTGGCTGGATGTAAACTGAAAAATAAGTATTGAAAATGTAATCACTTTGAAATAGTAATGTGAATTTTTAGCTTGAAGAGAAAATAACAAATGAAATTTCAAGTGTGTAGAAATAATGACAATGAATTTTTTTTTAGGTCAAAAATGTGTTCTGAATATATTTTAACACTGAAACAGTAAGTACAAACATACAACATTTAAATTTCAGTGGCATTTTTAATTCAAATCCCAGCGACACAGATTTACTTCCATAGTTTGTGGCCATATCCCAGAACAGAACTGAAAGAGCGTAGCCAGAAAGAGTTGTTCATACAAGCAGTTAAATGAGTAAAGGTCTCCATTTTAAATTCAGTTATTGTCATTGTATAGAAAAGTACTGATTGTACATTGAGCTGTCTCAATGGAAAACAATCATTTTGACTGAAGCTGCAGATGAAGTGCTGAAATACCACCGCTGTGCTGTTGACACTTGATGGCTGTAAAAGAGTTTTCTTCAAAGATGTAACTGGAAAAAAAGACTCTAGCTGCAGATTCAACTTTTGACACTAGAGAGAAACAAGATTTAGAGATATGATTCTTTCTGATAAA